TTTTTTTTTTTGCCCACTTCGCTTTCCTCATCCTCCAACTCAACCTTTTTTTCTTGCTAAGCATAGTTATTTTCTTATTGGCCATCCTACTCCAAACATAGTTGGTACTAAATATGAACACTTTTCTTAGTAAGAGTTTAAAACTTAATTTATCATATTGTGAGAGACTACTCTCTACTGCTAAACCTAATCTTATTGATAACTGAACTGTATTTCATTTTTACATATTTTCCTTCCTCCACTAATTTAGTATTGCCTCTAGTCCTCATTATAAGGCTCTTTCTAGAGAAATTTTTTTATCTTTTCTACAAGATCTTATGATAGTTTTAATGGGTATTAAATATTTTGTTTTTCATATATATTCAGATTGAATAAGGGTTATATGTTCATATTGAAAAATGGTAGTGAAATAATATAAATTAATATGATGTCCGAATTTAGTATAGTTAATAAGGGTAATATTGTAAATTATTTGAGTTTTATGGCAAGTTTAATGCTTTTAATGGGAAAATTCTAGGAAAAGAACTTGAAATTATCATTTCCCAATTTAGGTATCTAAAATTTGGAAACGATAGAGAAGAAAGTGGTGTCTAATCTAGTATTTTGCAAATGTGGTTGAATAACTAAAATGCTCCTGTATCATATTTGAAAAAAATTATCAAACTTGTCATTTTAGTATATTTCTTGTCATTTGCTATTTAATATTTGTCATTTTTTTAGTAAAATTTAATATTTGTCATTATTATTAGTACATTTTTTGTTATTTACTATTTAATACTTGTCATTACCATTTCACAAATTGTTAAAAAACTTTTTCATATAAGAGCATTTTAGTTATTTAATTACATTTGTAAAATATCAGATAAAGTACCACTTTCTCCGTTAAAATTTTGAAGTGTAGGTGCTTGACTTATAATATCATATTTTCCAACTTATTTATTTATTTGTCATTTTCCCTTTAATGGGACAGTCAATTAATTATCAATATTTTAATAGAGAAAATTGCAATGAGATCTCACATAAGAGAATTAAATATAAAAATGTTCTTTGAACTTATCAAATTAATCTGAAATCTCATGGGACCCATTGCAAGATAATTTATTTGTTTAATTATCAAATCGTAGCAAATGTTGACAACCTATGTATTATATTTTTGTGATACACTGAGAAAATCTGTTGTTAATCGTTACATGTTAAGTTGTTAACGGCTGCTCTTTCAATTGCGAATGCATATTTTGAAAAAAAATGATAATTTAATAATTAAACAAATAAAATCTCTTGTAATGAGCTCCTTTAAAATTTTAAATTAATTTAATAATTTTAAGAAACCTTTTTATATTTAATTCTCTTAAATGAAATTTTATTGTAATTTTTTCATTTCATTATATGGACAAGAACGGGGATCTATGTAATCAAACGAATTTAATTACCAAATTGCAGCAGATATTAATAATGCATACATTATATTTTTGTGATGCATGAAGAAAATATGTTGTTAATACTTGCCACAATAGTTGTTAATCATTACACATTAAGTTGTTAACAACTGCTTTTTGAATTGTCAATACATACTTAAAAAAATAACAATTTAATAATTAAACAAATAAAACCTCTTGTAATAATGTCATTTTAAAATTTTAAAGGAAAAATCACAAAAAAAGACTGTGGAATTAGAAAAATTATACACAGGAACCGGTTCACAAAAATTATTATTAAAACTCATACTAATATTATCATGGGTCTCAATTTGTAATTTTTCTAATTTTATGGTCTTTTTTTTGCAACTTTCCCATTTTCATATTAATTTAATAATTTTAAGAAACTTTTTTTATATTTAATTCGTTGCCGACCTGCCCGACGACCAGGGGAAAAAAAAAAAACTTAAATGCGAATGTTGTACGGCGCCGCCAAGCAAGACGGCGATCTCTTCTGATGAGCAGCAATGGCGAATTCTTCAAGGTATTCTGTCTTCTGAGGTTGCTGCTGCTGACTTTAAAAGCTGAGGAACCATTAGCACCATCAAGGATACCAACGTTGATGAGTCGACAATGGGCAACGTCCTCGTGGCGTGGAGAATCCGGACCCAGGAGCACCGCTAATTGGTATTGTTCCTTCCCTCGACTTAGGCCAAGTCTGTCAAAAACTGACTCGTGTTTCAATACAGAAGAAAATAATAAAAAAATGGCAATGCTCTATATATGTTTTAGAACATTGCCACAACCTTCTAAATTTGAAACTAGTACAAACTACGAACCTGTCACTGTGATTATCAATTCAATTGACACGTTGCCTAAAAAATGTGAAAGCACATGCAGTCTCACCGGTGGAAACCATTTTTTAAGCAACGAGGATTCTTGAAGCACACTAAACAAATTATGTAGAGCCAAAACTTGAAAGAAATTATATGACAACTTCGGGAAATTCTGGAGATTTCACTGATAAGCTTTGATAGACGCAAGATGCTTCCTCTATCTACCTAGCTATGTTCATGGCTGATGTCAATGAAAATGCTCATGTTCTGCATATAATATGGCTGTGTAATTCACGTCAATGAAATTGAATATTTGGATATATGAAGCCTGATTTTCTATCGCACAACACACCAATTAACTTCAGGTTCTACTGCTTTCTTCGTTGATAATGCTTATTTGTGGGAAGAAAAGAGTTCCACCTTGTCTTTTGTGGAAATCCCCTTGTTTAGGGAAGGGAGTAAATATATTAGAAAAGTAAGTAACAGGCAGGAATTTTTATCCCGTAAAAATTATTACAATTAGCAGAAATGGAAGTAGAAAATGGGTTTTAATGTTGTAAAGATAACCATTAATCTGTTCTGCAAGCATTACTTGTTTTTAAGTGATATCATAACATCATCTGAAACAATTTTCTTTATGTTATTGTTATTACAATAGTACATATCCTTTTTCTATTTTGGTATGATTGGTTCTGTAAGGGTTCTGAAAAACGACTCTTCATTCATCAAAAATAGTTCAAGCTGATGATGAAAATTAGCCTATTCTGTGGATATAGTCATTCTATATTTGAGAAGTCTTCTGCAAATTATTTGATCGAAGCATGGGATCCAGTTTGTATGCTCTTGTTAAAAGAAGCAGAGAGAAGCCTTAACCATTGACTTGATCTTATTTTGGACGTTGCCACACATCATGCAATTTAAGCCATTAATTTACAGCAACCTGACCTGTCCCCTTAAAAACTAGAGGGTGGGAGTGTGTCCTTTATCAAAAGTGAGGGAATTTGGAACGGCAAGGGAGGTGAAATGTTTTTGTTTTCTTAGAGGATGCAATGGATGTTATATATGTTGCTTTCAAGAGGCAAAATTTCTCTTACTTTCTCAAAGTAAAACTGCGTCCTTCGAGTTTTTTTTTTTTTTGAACTGTCATTGCCAAGAAACTGGCACTGCAAAGATTTGGAATACTCATAATGTCTTGGTACCAAAGATTTGCTAAACACTGAACCATTTACTCCCTCCCTCCATCTTTTATTATAAGATCTAATTTTTTAAAATAGATTTGTCCCTTTTTATAAGATCCTTTTTGAGTTTGTTTGAACATTTAATATATTATTACCTATTTTACCCATAGTTTAATACATTTAATATATTTTCTTTTTTTATTTATCTCGCTATTACTCTCTCACATTTACCCATTTATATATAAGGGCATATTTGAAAGAAATTGTATTTGTCACATATTAATTGCTTTTAACTAATTTTAACTGTTTTCTTAAACCACTCAATTTAGTTACAAGAATCTTATAATGAGGGACGGAGTAGTATTCCCTAATATTACACAACATTTGAATCTTCTGGTTTCTTTGAGCAATCTATATTACAGTGTGAAATTTTTTCGAGCATTCCTAGTCTTCACAAAGAAACTCATTAAATTATAGAGTGGGTACAAGATTATCCCAAACATTAGTGTAATATTGTGCAGTAGAGTGTTTATCCCAAACATAGGCATAGTGATCTGTCTTAATTCTTAGCCCTAATTCGTTTGGGCTCAGTCATAATTTGAAGTCAAAGACCCTAATTCTTCTCCATGTTACAAGATTACCCCAAACATAGATATAACATCGTGTAGTGGAGCATTTATCAACTACAGAGCCTCCCTAATCTGCATCGGTGTAAACCTAGCTCCATGCTTCTGCTTTCTCCCTTTCTAATGAACAAACCCTTTCCAGGTGTCCTCTTTAGGTATTTGAGAATTCTTCAAGTTTCTTCCTTGTGTTCTTTTTGTGGATCATTTGAGAATTGACTGACCACGCCAACTGCAAAGCTGATGTTAGGTTGAGAGATAAGTAGATAAATTTTCCCTTTAGTCTCTTTTACCTCCCCTTGTCCAGGGGAGGTCCCTGTTTCCCTATTATTCATCTTAGGTTCTTTTTGTAGTTGGTCTCCATGGGTGCGTCCACAGGATATGGTCCTAGTAACCCTGTTTCCAGCAGCAAATCAATTGTATATTTCCTTGAAGTAGCTTCTTGATTTCCAAGAGCGTGCTCAAACTGTGAAACTTTTTTTTTAATACGCCACAGCAACTTTTGAAACTTGTCATATATTTTATTTTTTATTCTAAAATTGATTATGAATCTTATTAATTATAATAGGCTAATTCTATGACATCCATTTTCAACAATTTTGGTTTTATAAAAAAAAGTTATAACTTGTAAGCAATCATAGTTTCGTCTTATCTTCCTTTCTTTATTCCTTGCCAGGTGCATCATTTGGGTTTCCTGTAATATTCCTAATTTTTCTGACAAACCTTCAATAACCACAAAATCAATACTGCCTCTGTGCCACATAAATATGTAACTTGCCTTTCTCCTCGGCACAAATATCATACTCGGGTAAATTCAATGCATCATAAAAAGTAAAAATGACCAGCACTAGCCTGGCCTCACATTTGGTGAGATTAAAAACCAATTTCAATATAAGCAAAAAAATTGAAGAATAGATAGTATTGAATGAAGTATTGCATTCAAGAAACATTAAGTCTAATGAAATAATCATCCATAATAGATAAGTGAAGTTTAACAATCATGTCTTATTGCATTTGCAATATTATCTCCCACTTATGTCAGTAATGCTAACAAAGTTAGCAGAGTGCAAACCCTGTGTTTCTGAAGCAGACTTCAAATTGAACTCTGTCTCATTTAGTATATATGCAGGTTGCCTTGGAATAGGAAGATTAGCAATCTCACTACTAAGCATCGACACTACATTGGCCATAGTTGGCCGCTCTTTTGCTAATTCTTGCACACAAAGTAATCCTATATGTATGCACCGCAAAATATCCTCATAAGAACCTTGATATTCTATTTCTGAATCAATAATGGACACCAGGTCGTTTTCATTCCATAGCTTCCATACCTAAAAATATACAAAAATCCATGCATGAAAATTCAAAGTTCATATAAACGACAATAAGTCAACAAATACGGAAGATACTTACATAGCCTAAAAGGGTTTGAGATCCCTCCATCTCATACAATCTACAATTGCTTCTTCCACTAATAATCTCTAGCACTAGAACTCCAAAACTGAAAACATCTGATTTCTCTGAAAATTGCCCTTGCATTGCATATTCAGGAGATATATAGCCACTACATTAAAAATTTATTAAGTGAACTTGCATTTCATTGGCATGATGATTTAATAGTTGAGAAGAAGACATGCTTACTATGTCCCAGCCACTCTTCTAGTATTAGCTTGATCTTGATTGCTTCTAAATATTCTAGCCATACCAAAGTCTGATATTTTTGGATTTAGCTCTTCATCCAACAAGACATTACTAACCTTTAAATCTCTATGAATGATTTTTATTCTAGAATCTCGATGAAGATAAAGCAAACCTCTAGAGATTCCTTCAATAATTTTGAAACGTTTTTCCCAATCTAATTCTTTCTTTTTGATTGAATCTGTAGAGAAAGAAGAGATCAGGTAACATAAAGTAAGTGCCTTTTTAATAGAATCTGAATTCACATAAATTAGCAAGTTATTGAATGATGAGAAAATCAAAGAGTAAAGCTTTTTTTTTTGGGTCAAAATTCTTAGTATGGCTTGAAAGGTGAGATGAAATGTTAGGCAAAAGAAGAACTAACCAAATAGAATTGCATCCAAACTCTTGTTATGCATGTACTCATAGATTAATATCCTTTCAGCTTGCTGAATGCAACAGCCTAAAAGTCTTACTAGATTGCGATGTTGAAGCTTTGAAATAACAACAACCTCATTCATGAACTCTTCTTGCCCTTGTCTTGATGCTTTTGAAAGTCTTTTGATTGCAATATGTTGTCCATCTTTCAATTGCCCCTAGAAGACAATGTAAAACAAAACAAAAAATTGGCAATTGTAACACCTCATTTCTACATGAAAGAAGATCCACTATACATTTTTTTTCTTTTTTCTTTCTTTGTTTTTTTTAAAAAAACCTTGTATACTGAACCGAAACCGCCGCGTCCAAGTTTGTTTGCTGAATGGAAGTTGTTTGTAGCAGTTACAAGATCTTCAAAATCAAAAAGTGGAAGTTCATTCATCTTGACTTCTTCATCTTGATTAATCATTCTTTGAGATTGACCGTGTGAATCTGTCTCACCTATGTTGAACAATAACAGTACGCTTTCTTTAGTCCAAAAGCACATCCTTTTGTTTTTTTAATGGTAAATAAAGCACATCTTGTTTTTAACACATATAAAATTGACTCATTGTAGCAAACTTATTCACAGTGACAGGTTTCAGAACTTCAATGGGTAATAGATGAAATCAGGGATTGATCCACATATGCTATGAGAAAGTATGAATAATGTTGGATGAAAACTATAATTGATTACAATACCTGCATATTTAGCAGTCAATTTCCATAAGAAGTATGCACATGTTGTAAATGTAATAATTCCTATTGGCACTGTAACTGCAATGATGATTGTTCTGCTTGGTGAATCTTTTTCTGCATTTCATAACAGGAAGTCAGACAGTTTCAGTGAGAACCTTCTAATATGATGGAGCATTAAATTTCAAACAAAAAAGGGTACCAAGTTTGGACAAAGACACACGAATGTAAAGATCAACCCCTCCTCTTGAGAATCTTTGTATGTCAATCAAATCTCCACTCCAATGCATGCACCCAATGCCATTTGAATCATATGCATATGCCACACAAGAGCAATTATGCAAACACTGTGTTCTACATCTATCTTCTGTAGCAGTCAGCCTCTCCAAAAAGTCTGGCACTTTCGTATTGTCAAGTTTCACAAACTCATATTGTTTATGTACTTCACTTTTATTTGCAAAACCCTCACATTGTAGTGGCTTCTTCCTCACACATCCGCTAGTCCAATTTTGCCTATTCCATTCCTCTAAATTATGTGGTTCATACCCACTCAAACAGCCACAAATTGGTGAACTTTGTGAACTACAGATTCCAAATGCCCCACATATGCCATAGATATCACAATAAGTCCCATTCAACACATGTCTCGAACCTTCCCTTTTGTTATTCCACCCTGCTATCCAAAGTTGGCCTTGTGGATTCAAACCCATAACTGCAAAGTCAGCATTATTTTCCAAATTGTAAGTCACATAAACAGTTCCATCATCTTCATTTCCTCCACTCCATCCACTTGACATCATTGGTGATCCTAGAAAAATCCTACCATTCCATGGACCAGTTCGAGCATATGGGCGAGTTCCATTAAACCACAGAAAAACATCAGGAGCATTTGGGCGTTCAAGAGAAGCAGTATAGTATCCAATAGATGGGTCAGAAGAGCTTTTCCATGATGTAAGTTTCACCTTCTCTCCTGTTCTTTTGTTGATGCTGAGTTTCATTTTTGGCACCATGATATCAGAAGGATCTTGAAAACTTTGCCATATAGCTTCTCCCGTGTTGCCATCAAAGAGGACCAGGTTCCCGGTGTTTAGAAGCTTAACAGTTGAATTGGTTACAATCTTTGAGATATTCGAAGACCAAACACTCATGTTTTGCTTGTCCAATATCACGAGATTGCCATTGTTGGAAATTGTGACAGTCCCAGAAGCATCAACCAGTAGCTGATTTCTATTAGCCACCCAGATGATGTTAGATTCAGAAAGATACCAGATTCCCACATAGCGGATTGTGGAATTTTGAGGGCTGAAGAATCCAAGCTTGAAGTCACTGTTATCTGAACTTATTGTTTCATGATCTCTGATGAGTTGACCTGGGGTGATGGTGTCCGCTGTAGAACTCAAACTCCAGTGGAAGATGGAAAGTATCAGCAAAAGATTTATCAAGTTGAGACTTCTGATTCTGAATCCCATGATGAAAAAGATGAGGTACTTTTTTTTTCTTTGAAAGTTTGTGTGCAGTTTAATTTTCTCATATGTGGGGGAGCTGTGGTCTTGCGGATTGACTGTCATGTACGTTTAGCACAATGCTATACGTATTCTATTATTGATGAATTTGCACGAACTCGCTTCCCTGTCAATGACAGATGGGCCAGCTACTGCCTTGATGACATTTGAAAGCAAAACATATCTAATCCGGCTGAATTAAGATTTCTTGGAGGGAGGAAATGCACGTCCTCTCCAATGAGAGTGTGTGAGCGGATCGTGTGCATAGTAATTTTTTATGGGCATGAATTATATTCTAATAAATCAAATGTATATTACTTCTCACTCTTAATATAAAAAATAATTGACTAATTTTAATATATTAAAAAAATTAATTAATTTAGATATTTGTAAGTTTTATCTTTTATAAAATATGAAATACTCTTACTAATTATGTATATTAGTTATAACTACTATTTAATGAAATATTTAACATATATAACTATCATAAAATTGTTTTAAAAAAATAGATAAATATAAAAATAATAATAAATTAAAATTTTATATTTAAAATTAAATTAAATACTATATTTTTTTGTATTCAGAACAAATTACGAGGTAATCGCTGCATCATCGGTGACAAGCTGACAACTGACTAAGAGAGTCAACAGTTGAGTTAATGAATCTAATGCATAATAAAGGAGGCCAACCACTTTGATGGCATTTGAAAGTAAAACGTACGTAAGTAGTTAATGTTTTGCAGGAAGGGTCCCGTTCAAATTAAATTTCATATATTTTGTATCTAATTTATATTGCGCATATAGAAGACACATTTTTGTCTTAATTTCAGATGTTTCATGCAGCAAGAGTTTGGCCAAAAAAAAAATTGCAGCGACAGAGAAGGGGGGAATTTATTCTTTAAAAAGTCAAAAAATGGATATTTCACAACAGATAGTAAAAAAAAGGGAATATTTCATGAAATTATTACCCGATTACTAAACAAATCATATACGCATCTAACTGCATTTTGATTATCAATTTGTTTCAAAAAAATGAACCACTAATTTTTTTGATATTACAACTCAATGAAGTCTTATACTAATCGAGATCAACTATATCGATCACATAATATTATTATATTCTATGAACGATCAAATTCTTGAATATGCTATTAACCAACAAATTTTGTTCAATAACTTATTGAATGAGAAGAAAAACATAACTTTTTCGAGTATTCTATTCAATTTTCCTTTACCCTCTTTAACAGATTCTACATTGTTTGATTTATTTCTTTGCTCTCCAACAATATTTTTGTATATATTCAAACCATTTCAAATGATTTTTCACTATTTTCTCTTTATATATTTTAAGGAAAATGACACTAAGGTCCCACACAAGGAAATATACTGTAAAATAGTTCCCTGAAATCTGATAATGAATCACAAGTCCCATAGGGACTTAACTACAATAATAAGAATGTTAAGAAGATATTATTGCCTAGCAGTGTAGAAGGAAAGGGTGCTCATATTTTCTGCACGATCTGAAGTTGCTGCTAATGGGAGAGAAGAGCTGGAGAAAGAAGAAAATAGCCATTGATAAAGCATCTTTCTCATCACGATTAGTGAACTCCAAAGAGTTTCCATTTCAATCTCTCTAAACTTCTAGGTTTTGAAACTTTCTTCCCCTCCTCTTCTCTGCATTTTGCTTAACAGATTGTGTTTGGGTATTAGAATTTAGAAATTCGTTCTTGCCTTTAAGTATTGCAAAGCTTTTGTTTTTTGTCTAATATGAACAAGATACTCGATAAAAAAAAACTGTGCTTTTGTTTGGTGTGCGTTAGTGATTTAAGTTGGAGTTTCATTGTGGGTGAGTAGAATGATGATGGGTGCTCTGTTTTTTGTTACATTATGGGTGGTTTTGCTCTGTTTTAACATGGTTTAGTGTGAAAGGTTGAAGAAGATGAAGGTTGGTGTGGGTGAAAACCTTTTATGCAAAATGGGATATTATATTGTCAATATAAGCTGTGAAAGTTGTCAATGGATGCCGCGACAGTTGTCAATTGTGCTGCTTCACTTGTCAATAACAGCTGGATGATTGTTGATGCAGGTTTACATTAATGATGGCCAGTATGTCTGGAAAGCATCACACCGTCAAACCATGCAAGAACCCAAATACAAACTAAGAATGTATTGAAATCAATTATTTTTTATATATGGATGTGAAAGGAATATTTTGTAAATGAGTGTGAAGGGATTTTTTTGTAAATGGATACACACCAACAATTAGTTTGGTAATTACATGCAACCCTATGTTTTTTTTTAATGGGTTGTGAAATATGTATAATTCCATGTATATAAAGATGTAAATAAAAGTTGGCTATAAACTAATATATTAGATTCTACTGTCATTTGAGTTGTAATTATTACACCTTGCATTGTCAATGGACCTGTTTTGACTTGTCACTGATTGCAGTATGACTTGTCAATTAATCTACTGATGTGAGTTATCTAAAATATGAATTCAAGTTACATAATATTGACATATCATATGATATTTTCAATTATCTTGACATATTACGTTTTGGTTATAATGTCGTATATAATCATTATTAAAAGCCTATTATTATTGATATAAAATTATAAAATAAATTATCAATAACTACATCATCACTTGTCAATGTGGCATTGTGACTTATTGACGATGGCACTGTGACTTGTCGATGGTGGCACTGTGACTTGTCAATGAGGGAATCAACAGCATAGAATTTCATCCAGAAAACTTGGTAATGAATCTGAAGTCTCAAAGGGACTGGAGTGCAATTTAGTAAAGTGTAAAAAGATTTTTATGTCCCTAGTGAGATGCACCCAAAGTAAATGAAAGTTGTCCTATTTTTCAGTCTGAGAGTCACCAATCTATGTGCTAAAAATAAAAAAGAAAAAACCCAAACTTCATTCTGTTTTTTCCCTATTCCCATTTGAAAATCTCATCCACTCCACCCATGTCAGCCATTGGTAAAATTCTCTTGTGTTTTTGGTTTGGTGTGTGCTTGGTCATTTAAGTTGGGGTTTTATTATAAGTGGGTAGGGTGATAATGGATGTTCTGTTTTTGGGTATATTGTGGGGGATTGAAGGTGAGCTTGCTCTATCTGGGTATGGTTTGGTGAGAATTGATGAGGAAGACAAAGGTTGATGTGGCTAAAAATTCTTACTACGAAACAGGAAAATATGTTGTCAATATAGGTTGCGATAATTGTCAATATAGCTCCTTGACTTGTCAATGATACTTGTGTTGTGCAGATTTACATTAAATAATATTGTTAAATTCTTGACACAAAATTCATAACCTTTTGTGCCCTTAACTCATTGGTAGAGGCTATAAAAAGGGAAAGAAGAGGCAATGAAGAAGGGTGGGCACCACATGAAGCAAAAGAAGAAAAATGATAAAAAGAAAAGCTACTTTAAACCTAGACAAATGATGGCAAAAGAATTTTTTGTAAATAAAAGTGACTTTTTTTTTTGTAAATATCATAATGCATACAAATAATTAGCTTGATATTTGATATATGCAATTGTATTTTTTTTTAATGTGTTGTGAAATCAATGTAATTATATGTGTATGAAGTTGTAAATGAAAGTTGGTTCTATATTACATTTTGATGCATAATTAGTTGTCATTATCTGCACCTTTCATTATCAATACACCCTTCATCACTTGTTACTCATTGCACTATCAGTTGTTAATTTACGTGCTAATATAAATTTCAAAAAAATATGACTTTACATTACATAATGCTATACAAAATCATACTATATCACCAATTCCTTAAAACTAATCTCTTTTTTTTTGTAATGATGTGAAAATTTTCAAAATTGAAGGTGTTGTTTATTTAACATATTTAAGTAAGTTATATGTAACCTACAATATGAATATCAATCAGAAGGTATTTAATAGGATGAAAATTTTTCAAAATTTGACAAGTCATATTGCATTTGTTGACAAGTCTAATAATCCTCAATTCACAGCGATGCCTAGAGCAATCCACCATGGCCTTTGAAGCAAAAAGGACAGAGAGGCATTCTGTAATAGGCGCTGTGATGCCTGGATAAATCCGCTGTGATGCTTGGATGAAATTCTATGTTCTTGATTCCACCGTTGACAAGTCACAGTGTCACATTGACAAGTGATGATGTAGTCATTGATAATTCATTTTATAATTTTATATCAATAATAATAGGCTTTTAATAATGATTATATACGACATTATAACCAAAACGTAATATGTCAAGATAATTGAAAATATCATATGATATGTCAATATTATGTAACTTGAATTCATATTTTAGATAACTCACATCAGCAGATTAATTGACAAGTCATACTGCAATCAGTGACAAGTCAAAACAGGTCCATTGACAATGCAAGGTGCAATAATTACAACTCAAATGACAGTAGAATCTAATATATTAGTTTATAGCCAACTTTTATTTACATCTTTATATACATGGAATTACACATATTTCACAACCCATTAAAAAAAACATAGGGTTGCATGTAATTACCAAACTAATTGTTGGTGTGTATCCATTTACAAAAAAATCCCTTCACACTCATTTACAAAATATTCCTTTCACATCTATATATAAAAAATAATTGATTTCAATACATTCTTAGTTTTGTATTTGGGTTCTTGCATGGTTTGACAGTGTGATGCTTCCCAGACATACTGGCCATCATTAATGTAAACTTACATCAACAATCATCCAGCTGTTATTGACAAGTGAAGCAGCACAATTGACAACTGTCGTGGCATCCATTGACAACTTTTACAGATTATATTGACAATATAATATCCCATTTCGCAGGAAAGGTTTTCACCCACACCAACCTTCATCTTCTTCAACCCTTCACACTAAACCATGCTAAAACAGAGCAAAACCACCCATAATGTAACAAAAAACAGAGGACCCATCATCATTCTACTCACCCA